GCAAAGGCATCTAAAATGTTCACGATTTTCATTCAGGTACATATTTGGGACATTAACATTCTGAGTCCAAAAATTATACTTTTTCGCCCTCTTGAAGATGATTGCAGGCTGGTACATGCAGAAAGAACATCAACGGAATTGATAATTTAAATAATGAAGACATTTCCGTATGGTTCATCATTTTCGGAGAGATGTCTTGCAAGACACGTGGCTGACGTAAATTCGTCCAGTGTTTCTGAGGAATGAGATATGTGAAAAATTCAGGTTTCATAAGTGTGTCCGCAGATGCTAGGTAACCAGATCAGAAGGTAGTAGTAGTGGTAGTAGTGGTAGTAGTGGTAGTAGTAGTAGTAGTAGAAGTAGTAGTAGTAGTAGTTCTGGTAATATTTAGTGATAAGGCTAGTAGTAGATCATTAAAGGTATGAAACAAGATGTTTTTTTTTAATTGAATTTGTATTCACTATTTCTATTTTATTATCGATGGCAGGATAAAATACGTTTATTTATGAGAAAATATATTTACAAGCAAAATGGGTTACCACAATTCTTATTTTTACGTATTCCATAAGTTTTTCTTAGTTTGTTTCAGCTTTTAGGTGAGAATGAGAAGAATCCGTATTTCAGGAATGTTGATGAACGATGATAAATATTGATGATATATTTATTATAATTTCAATTTTAGCTTAAATTTGGTATTTACTAATTCTATTAGGTACTTATTTTACGAACATATCTAGGTATTTTTAGCTAAGATGTGATTGCACACTTCTTATTTTTACGTGTTTTACATTAACTGCTGTTCAAAAAGTTTCAGGTTTCCTTTCAGAATCATAGCTCAAATATTTTCATCAAGCTTTGGAGGTGGGACACCTCCAATTTCAGGAATGGCATACGTTATTGACACTTATATTGATGATAATGACCTGTATAGGCAACTGTTCCAAAAAATGTTCTGCCTGGATAGCTGGATGAATGTTTCATTGGTCATACACGAGTCGGATAAAGATAGAGATTGAATAGGAACAGTAGAAACATGAAACATGTCAAGAATGATTAAAGTCCCGATTTATGGTATGCTGCAATACATGAGAACAGCAATCAAACCAACATCAAAATTTATACAGGGTAAGCATTGGAGAGCATGGCATCAAGAAGGTTGGTTTTGAACTTCACGAACCGCTGAAGTATAGATAGAACTGTTAAGGATCTTGGAAATTTTCCCAATAGATGTATTTTCTAAATTTGCCCTAAGAAGAACAAAAACTTTCTACTCAAACTATACTTAAATAAATACGTCAACCTACTTGATGTTTTAAAATAAGCAGAGGTGTTATTTAAATGGGAATACTCATTTGAACTCTCTTTGTAGATAAATCTGTGGATAATAGTAGTATGGTCTACTGTCAATATATTGATGAAGTTTTACAAAATACTGCCAGGTTCCAAGCAAAAGCTTCTAAAAATGTTCACGATTTTCATACAACTTTTGAAGAGATTAAGAAGAAATTAAGGGACATATTTGGGAAACTAACTCAATGAAGCCAAAAGTTATATGAAGATGAATTGAATTGATAATCGAAATAAAGAGCAGGTATTTTTTACATAATCTTAAACTTATTTATTGTTCATGTTTGACTGACGTCTTACCCGATAAATCAAGCTTATCAGGAAATATAACTTCTGAAACCTATTGGAAAAAGCAGCGACGCCATAGACGAAAGCTTTCACCAAATTTTATTTTTCTAACAACTTATCAGAAACATGTCAGTGAACTTCGAGGGGCGTTTCTAAAGTAAGAACCAATTGCGCACCGCAACGTGAAGACCGTTCAATCTCAGACACTCTTGGCCAGTCTCTCACTACGCCGCTATAAAAAACTCATGATCAATTAGTTTGGTTGGATAATATCAATTAGGTCTTTCCTTCGAGTATATTCAACCAATTTGGCTCACAGAAGAACTAGAAAGACAATTATTGTTAAATTTATATATGCTGATTCCTTTACATTCCTTTTGTAATTGTTATCATGTTTGATCATGCATGAGACTTCATGCCATTTGAGGTTGCAATATTTTAGCCGAAGATTGCTTAACAATTAACCAGTGTGTTACGACAACAGTGCTGGGTTTTTTTTCGCGTTCTTTTGGAGGGCTTTGCTATTAGTCGGATCTTTTTACGTTGGTCTCATTCTGTAGGTCTCATAAATACTTAAAAATCTTATTAAAATGTTTTTTTCGTTCCTGTCATTTTTTGTTGTCAATGAAAAGTTTTCCCACAAAAATGGGTGTATCCATTTTATGCGTCCATGTTTTGAATACCCCCTTGAACAACTTCACCAGTAAAACCAGTCTTTACAATAATTTCGGGGAAATTTGCTGATATGATTAGACTATAGGTTTCAGATGCTGCATTAAACAAAAACTGGTGCCACGACTTAACTTGTGTTTGAATGTTTGAGTGACTATGTTAAAAAAGTGATAAAATGTTCATATTTTAGTTTGTGATACAATTTACATTCATAAATAAAATTTCTCTGACTTGATTACAAAACGGTCCTTACTTGAAAAATGACCCTCGTATATGCCGGTACAATGCTACTTTTTTTTTTAGGTTAACAACTGTGGCATGCTGGCGAGTTAGAGATTTTCGATTGTACAGATGAACCCAGAATTGTGGAACGACCTGGCTTTTCTTCACCTGATACAATTAATCTGAGCAGTGACGGTTGAGGTTTTCAAGGGGTTTCCCTCACCCAAGTGCGAATGCAGTCACCAAAAAACCATATTCCCCTAACAGATACTAGAGAAAATGAAAATCATAGTTTTCCTATTAATGATCATGTAATTTTAGATCATAGATATTAAATATATTTATATAGTAAAACTTTGTTTTTTTCCATAAAAGAAATAGGAAAAAAATATTTTATCCTATCAAATCTCTGTTCGTATAGGTGTCGTCACCTATTAGTGACTGTGTCCAGAAACCCGCCACGCAAATTCCGCTCATTCTGCTACGCTGTATAGTCTAAATTCACATGGCCGGATCCCAGACACAATCACCGACAGGTCACCGACCACCAGCGTTGCAAACCCCATCCGAGAGAATAACTAGTAGGAGCTTGAAAAAAAACTGTAGATATCTGTAGAATTTTATTCAAAACACTGTAAATATATAGCCTTCCATTTACAGTATTTTTCACGAGTATATATCGCGGACCAAGGTAAAAAAGTGATATAAAAATGACAGAATTTCCATTAAAATTTTTTCTAATTCGGGGCTACCCGTGAATCCTAGCACTAAATTGTCATCAAATTCTGAATCTACGCACACAATTTACCTAGAAATCTATCTTCCATCTAGATAATAGACTCGCAACAGTTTTTGCAGATTTTTGACAAACTGGAATGCTTGCCATTATCTCGAAAACGAGGACTTTTCGGACTGAATTGACCCCGGATTCGGTTTTAGCGATCAAAAAAACGTATAAGAATAGTTGGGTTTACATTCTTGACCCATTTTTGCAATTTTAAAACATTGTACCCCTAAAAATTTAAATGCTTTAAGTGCGGTTCAAATGACCTCTATCGTACGGATTTTGCGTTGCCAAAGCCGAATCTGATGTCATTTCACATCTACCTAATATTTTTAAACATGCAGATCTAATTATTTATCGAAAAATTGCAAAACTATGCGTTTTTACCGTTTTTGGGTGATAAAAATCCATCTTTCTTATCGATGGCTATCGAAGCTTTGTATAACAAGGTAATTTGGGGTTTGAGGCGCTGAATACCCATTGAGGAAAAAAATTTACATAGAATACCCCCCTTAAAATGCGGTCCTGTGTATGATGTTTCATTTTTGGTCACAACGTGTGAATCACCCTGCATACGTATTATAGTGAAAAAATTCTAAAGTGCTATCGGACCCGATTTGGGTTGAAAAATTGGTAGTGAGTCCTAGAACTGATTTGACATCGAATTCAAAATATAACAAACTGCCAGAGATGGAGATTTCTTATTAGTCGTTTTTAGCGACACAAAAAACGTATCACGAATGGTTGGCCTCGCGCCGGACCCATTTTTTGCAGTGTTTCAGACTGTAACAAAAGACGTCGTGATATTACTGAATCAAACCAGTGTCTTCGATACCGGCAACCAACATTACAAAGCGCAACCAACATTACAGAACGTATGTGTTGTAAAGGCTAAAAGGCTAAAAGCTAATGGCAGACCGCAACCAACATTACAGTACCGTGCATATTAGTGACTAGCAGAAATTCTTTTGGAAAATAATATAAAAAATAGGCTACAGGGAAAGAAACCACAAATTTTAAAATAGATACTTGAAAGTTTCACTACCCACTCAAACTATATATTACAATTTTATAATTTAATTTAAAATACACAAAGATACTGTTGCGTCTTGTAGAACTTTAGATTTCACTCTTTTTTCACTTGCAACTTTTAGAGGCTAGTCTGATGTATTATTTTATAACAAAAAAGTGTGGATGAAGCACGCTTTTGATGAAATATTTTTTCCCCAAACACAGTATTTTTGGCAGCTATTTCCACCAATTATTTCCACCGCCATCTGCCATATGACGTCTGTGTTTTCAGGTATATGAGTGGCGCTTGCCTACGGTGTTGCCGGATTGGGATCCGTATTTAGAGAAAGTTTTGAAAAACTGTTTTTATAAAATAACAATGCAAATATTGAGGCAAAAAAAACGAAAATAAACCTTTGGCCTGGAAAATTCAAACTATATGTAGCAATTTAGGATCTATTTCGCATTAAGGTTGGTATTCAAATTTACTAAATAGAACGTAACTATGGTTTTCGTGAACGGCGTTGTTACAATGTTGTCGCTTTTCTGGCTCATAATACTGTCGAACTTTGCTCCAATCCAATCGACTCCTTATTTCTTTTCAGGTTGCCAAGATTACAACAATAAGAGCGAATTTGAGTCACGGTGTAAATAAGTACACTTAATTCTTTTTATTGGCGGCAGTGCTGTGAAGGCAGAAACCACCGTTGCGATCAACGATTGTACTCGAAACGGGTACGGATATGGAAAACAGAGTAATGAAAGTCAACATCTCGTGCTTTGATTGCTACTCGCTACTCCGAGTATCTATGAGTAACGAGTACTCGAGTAACGAATAGTTACTTTTTCAGCACCTCTAATGGCTTCCTTCATGTTACGGCATTGACGTTCATTCGGTTCTCGTGTTTTTAGTTTTCCGTGTTTTCTAAATTTGTGAAAGTGTGAAACAAGAAACATGAAACAGTGATGTGAAACTGTGAAAGATTTTTCCAAGCGTTCATGTATTTTTATTATAATATATGCTGATGACACTGTTATAATCATTTATACCCGACAAATAACAAAGTAAGTAGCTGTTATATCAAAAACCGACGAGTCGTCGCTGAAACGACCGACGTACGTAAGCTAACCTCTACGCTTGCTACGTTTTCAGTTTGTAAACATGTCTCTGCCGCCGTACTTGCTGGGCCCCAATCCGTGGGCCACCATGATGGCCCAGCAGCACCTAGCGGCGGCCCACGCTCAGGCCCAAGTGGCCGCGGCACAAGCACATGCACATGCTTTGCAACAACAGATGCCTCCACCTCATCCGAAGAATGATGTTATGACTGAAGATAAACTACAAGAAAAAGGTAAATAATACATTCTTCAAATTTATGATTTGTAAAATCTAAACAAGATAATTTGCTAGGGTTGAAGTATCACTGCCGTAAGCACAGTTTGTGATTAATATTGTACTTCAGTTCTCTATGTTAGTAGCTATCAAGCTAACAAAAGTATAATTTTATACTTCCCCTGCAATTAGTATTGTGATTGTGAATATCTTATTTTACTTACAAATTACTATCAAGAAAGATATTACAAAGCCACTCTACATTTTTGAATACTTGTATATTCTTGACGAATTATGGGATCCTAGATAATCAAAAATGTAGAATCTGTTCATATGTCATTTATTTATGTTGAAACTTCACCTTTTCTAAAACAATTCTAGTAGATTGATGGACTAACACTTTTTTAGGTTTTAAAAAACATTAATCACCCTCGGCATTTACCCTGCAGTATCTTATCTATAAAATAAAATTGAATATTGTTATTTTATATGTATAATGTTTTATCTACTTATCTCCTTTCTTTCAGCTTTTATAATTCTTGAAAAATCTGCTATCAGCATAAATATATCAATCATTTTTTTTTATTTTGTATATAATTTCATTTAACAGCAACATATATTTGCGGAATACCACAAGAAATACTACAGGGACCACAAATTTGCTGAATTATTTTCCAAACTCCTAGCTCCCAAGTTTATGCCCCAGTAGAGCATATTAAATTTGAAGATAACAGTGATTGAATGGTTAACATTTTTAGCTCAAAAATGGCACCAGTTACAGTCCAAAAGATATGCTGACAAAAGGAAGCTAGGCTTTGTGGAGGCTCAAAAGGAGGATATGCCACCAGAGCATATTAGAAAAATCATTAGGGATCATGGTGATATGAGCAGTAGAAAATATAGACATGATAAGAGGGTTTATTTAGGGTAAGTTCAAAAATACAACTTCTATTTGTTTACTACTAAAATATGCTAAAAAAAATGTGTTAGATTGATTGCTGGAAGCTATTAATATTTCACATAAATGGTGAACTTTTCAAAACTACTTGCAGAATGATAACCTAATAACACTTGAAAGTATGTACTTTTAATTTTAGAGCATTGAAGTATATGCCACATGCGGTGATGAAGTTATTGGAGAACATGCCAATGCCTTGGGAACAAATCAGAGATGTCAAAGTGTTGTACCACATTACAGGAGCTATTACTTTTGTGAATGAAATCCCTTGGGTTATAGAACCAGTTTACATAGCACAGTGGGGGTAAGTGATTTTTATCATTTCACACTTAATATAAAGCCAACCTAAAATTAGTTATGCTATCATTATTTTTCCTACTAGTGTTGGTATTCCTAAGTCATTATAACATTATACAGGGTGACAGGTAAATAGGTGTAAAACATTTTAGGAGGTGATAGTACAGGCCCCTTTGCTATCGAAATTAGTATATAATACTATGTTCAAAGGTTGAAAAGTTATTGAAGATTTAAGATTTTTTTAAAAACAATCCATATTTCAGAGTAAAAAAGTCGAGAGAGAAAAAAGTAGGCGATCAAACATTTGTTTTTTGTGGTTTTTGGGTTATTATTTCAATAATTAACTATTATAAATTAAAAAAGATTCGAAAACAATACCAAGCAACGTATTTATTTTCATTCAAAAATGTTTAACTAAGAAAAACAAATAATGTTTTACAGTAAGTTAGGTGTTTTACAAAAAAATCAGTATACAAAAAAACGTACAAACAATTTAAGTAATATCCTTGTTTCATAAGGAATCTAAATTGGTATGATAAGTGCACAAAAACTGTGAAACTAAACATAATGTATTGTAATACAACAATAGGGAGTAAATTTACCAATGGCTTGTCTCCTACTTTCACAACTCTCTGATTGATAAGAAAGTGTTTTTGTGAAAATAATGTAACTGTAAGCTATGGTATAGTTATTATTTTAAACTACGGTTAAGTTACACGATTAGATTATTTACACAGTTGTAATTGTACTACAGAATAATAAAAACTGACTAAAAGTTACTACAATTGGTAAGTAAAATACAATAATGAAATGAAGGTAAAATTCATTGCAATTGTTGTTCGAACTGACGCCCGCCGTTTCTTATGCAAGCCCGTAGTCTTTTTCTCATGTTGGTAAGCGTGATGCGGCCAGTTAGTTGTCCTCTGATAGCGTCAGCAGCAGCAATAATTCTTTCTTTCAACTGTGCAAGAGTGTCTATGGGTTCAGCGTACACCAGTTACTTCATGTGCCCTCATAAATAATAGTCACACGGTGTTAAATCTGGGCTCCTCTCTGGCCACGGTGTCGGTCCACCTCGGCCAATCCAGCGACAAGGATATTTCTCGTCCAGCCACTGTCTAACACCCAGACGGAAATGCGCGGGACAGCCATCGTGTTGGTAGATCATCTGCATCCTGATATTCAGAGGCAGGTCTTCGAGATACTCCCAGAGTTCGGATCTCAAAAAGTTTTCATAGGATTCGCCATTCAGGTTGTCAGGCAAAAAAACTGGTCCAATTAGATACGTATGAATGATTCCCATCCACACGTTTGCCGAAAATCTTCTTTGATGGGCTCTTGGCTTTGCGATGGTAACTCGCCATTATTAAAACTGATCAAAAAAGTAAAAGTACGTCCTACCGCGTTAAAGGTTGATATTCTACTAACTAACCTAAGCGTTAGTTCCCTTTCCTTGATCCGTCAGCTGTGTCAATTCATAACACACGCAGAGCTTGCTTCCGAGGAGCGACGACAGATTCCGAATACTTAAACCCGAATAACGGTACAGGGCACAAAAAATAACCAAAAGGGTTGAACCATGAAAGGCGGTTTACCTGCTCAGTACAATGAAATGCCCTTAGCCGTCTTTTCTAGCAAAGTAATATTGTTTTGTTAAATGGTTTACTTACTGATATGTTATTATACCATTTTAGAAACCTAATGAAACGAGGAAGTTTTTGCAGTTATTTGTACATTTTCTTTATTATGATTTTTTTGAAAAAAAAGACTTCTTAATGTGAAAGTTGAAAATAAAAATTTTCATTTAACATTTAAATGAAAATAAATACGTTTTCAGTGGTGTTTTCATATGTTTTTGAATTTATCAGAATTATTTATTTGAATAATAACCTGAAACCACCAAAAAAAGAATGTTTAATCACCAACATTTTTTTTATTTCAACTATTTTACTCTGTAATCTGGGTTGTTTTTTAAAAAAAATTAAATCTTCCATAACTTTTTAACCTTTGAATATAGGGTATGGTATTATATACTAATTTTGATAGCAAAGGAGCTGTACTATCACCTCCTAAAATGTTTTACACCTATTTACCTGTCACCCTGTATATGATTGTAGAAAAAATTATTTCATAAAGATAATATTAGAGGATATTGTTTAGTTGCAGCACTTAAAAAATTACACTTACATACTTTGCTGACAGCCTTCATGTATCTTGTTTTTCTTCTTAGAACAATGTGGATCATGATGAGGAGAGAAAAACGCGATCGTCGCCACTTCAAAAGAATGCGATTTCCACCATTTGATGATGAAGAACCTCCTTTGGATTATGCAGACAACGTGCTTGATGTTGAGCCTTTGGAGGCTATCCAGATTGAACTGGATGCAGAAGAGGATTCAGCAATTGCAAAATGGTTCTATGACCACAAACCGTTAGTAGGCACAAAGTATGTCAATGGGCCTACATATAGAAGGTGGAATTTAACTTTGCCTATGATGGCTACACTGTATAGGTAAGGCTGACATTTTACATACACCATGATACTTTATAAATTTGGGATATAAAACTGTTACAATTATTGATTGAACCTCCTTTTTAGATTGGCAAACCAGCTGTTAACTGACTTGGTTGATGACAACTACTTTTATTTGTTTGACACAAAGAGCTTCTTTACTGCTAAGGCTCTGAATATGGCTATACCTGGTGGCCCAAAGTTTGAGCCTCTCATCAAGGATATGAACCCAGCGTAAGTGGTTGCAATCGTTTCATCAATTCTTTGCTGATCGGTGCTTTTTATTTTCAGTGATGAGGATTGGAATGAGTTCAACGATATCAACAAGATCATTATCAGACAACCGATTCGTACAGAGTACAGAATTGCATTTCCATATTTGTACAACAACATGCCCCACTTTGTTCATCTATCTTGGTGAGTAATTTTGAAGAATCTGTTATGAATTTATGCTCTGAAAGGCGTTTCTTTTGATCCACATTTGTTTTATATTTATTGTTTCTGTAATAATAAATGTCCTAGCCGTGTGGAAGATCAATTCGTAACATGATATTCTTTCCATTCTAAAGATCAAAAATGGAAATGCTGAAATGTTACATACACATATTACAGCCCACATCATCGCCAGCAAGTGCTGAAGAAAAAAAATATTTCTCAAGTTAAAAAAATCTCAATATTACAATTCCTACAGTTACTGCAGTATGATTTTTTTTGTTTTTATTCTAAATTGCCTGAAAATACCCATAAATATCCCTATAACTTTTTTGTTTTGTCCAACTAAAAATAAATGTGGATACCTGGATTACCTATATTCTAGATCTACCACAGTGAATGGCCAAGATTTATGCCATTTGTAATATTTTGATCAGGAAGATGAATAATTTTACATATAAAGGATTTATAACTATTATAAATCCTTACTAGTGTTATCAACCTCCACCACTAATGCCCTAATATACAGTAATGGACAAAAGTATGTAGACAAATATGAATATTCACCTAAATACCTCTAGAAAACGAATTCATACTTCATTGCTCAATAAACAAATGCGTTATTAGTAGAAAAACTAAATTCCTTGTTTTTTCATTATCTGCAATACAATACAAGTCTGAATATAAGCACTTTTTTATGAGGGACAAAAATATATAGACAAATTCTTTTCAACATTAGTGTACAGTTTCGTGTCAGAAGAGGATTAGTTTGTGTTCATAAGTATTGTGGAATTAGTTGAGTGATTTTAAGCCCCTGCTGCGTGGTCCAGAAATTTTTTTCGATGTGAAAACTAAGATCATTGGGTTATACAAAGATGGTCAAAGTCAAGTCGACACTGCCAAAATTTGAAGCTGATACGTAAAGCAGTTTGGGCAATATTGAACAAATATAAACAAAAAGGTATCTTGGAGCCTCTAAGAGAAGTGGTCGGCCTAGAAAACTAAATGCTAGATCAGTTAGATTAATAAAAGTAATTTCGTCCAAAGATCCGTTTTAAACCCCAAGACAATTAAAAGCCGAAATCGAGACAAAAGGAATTGTCAGTGTTTCTACGAAAACTATAAGTAGAAAATTAAATGATTTGAAGTTATTTGCACGTCGCCTGAGTAAGAAGCCGGTAATCTCGAGGAAAAACCGTAAGGACCGATTACAATTTGCACGGTTGCATCTTGATTGGAGCATCAGTGACGAATCCAAGTTCAATATTTTTGGATCAGATGGTGTTCATTACGTTAGACGTCCTAGTGGGCAAATATTGAACCCCAAATACACTTTGCCCACTGTCAAACATAGACGCGGGTCTGTTATGGTTTGGGGGTGCTTTTCTGGGTCTGGAATGGGACCTTTACATAGAATAGATGGCATTATGGATACGTTTGCATACACAGACATACTAAAGCATGTCATGTTACCCTATTATGGAAGACAATAATGCCCTTAAGATCAAACTTCCAGCAAGCACACTTCAAATCTCACAAAGGAAATTCTTTCTGGATGAAAAAATACCAGTTCTTAAATGGCGTTCACAGTCTCCCGATATAAACCCCATTTTTTTTTTTTTTTTATATCGAAACAGCCGCGCAGGCAGAAGCCTAAATGCCGGAACACCGCGGCTGCTATGATGATCCCAAAGAAATTTTGTTAATACGATTTTTGAACTGCCCAAGGTTAGTAGAACTGGGAAAAACTTCCTCCCGTAGTTTGTTCCACAATCTAGACACCCTCGGGACAAAGGAGCGGTCGTATCGGCCAGTTCTGGATGTACGAAGTTTGACACGGTTAGGATGGGACGCCGAAGTCAGGCGGGTCTGTCTGGCAGGCACATCGCGCGGCGGCATCATGGAAGAGAGCTCTGAGGAGCAAAGCCCGTTGGTGTAGCGATAGAAAAGAGCTAGATCGCCGACGGCCCGCCGGTGCGAAAGAGTCCCGAGACTGTCTGTTAGAGAAGAGTCATCGATCAGTCGGACCGCCCTCCTCTGGACAGCACCGAGCATGGACAATGTAGTCGGGGCGGCAGAACCCCAAATGTGTGAGCAATACTCGAGGCCAGGCCTTATCTGGGCCTTGTATAGAGTGAGAAGGTCATGCGGAGAAAAGTACTTCTTAGCCCTAAACAAATAGCCTAGCTTTTTCCCAGCAGCTGCAGCTATTGAAGAGATGTGTTCGTGCCAGATCAGGTCCTCGGTGATCTGGACTCCGACCAGCCGAAATGAATGGCTCTTTGGTAGAACTCGACCGTCCATCGAAACTGTATGAGCGCCAGGACGCTTTTTGTTCGTCAAAGTACAGTACACTGTTTTGGAAGCATTGAACTGTACAAGATTGTTGCGTCCCCAAGCAGTGATAGCCTCCAGGTCCCTTGTCAGAGAAGAAGTCGTCGCTAGTCTTCTTTTTTCCAGCTCAGCGGCAGAGATCGGCTTGTCACTCTGAATTCCTGCATGTAGAGTGCTGCCATCAGCGAAGCTGTGGATTGGGTTGATCGTGCAGGAAAGGAGGTCGTTGATATGTAAGAGAAACAGTGTTGGAGCCAAGACCGATCCCCGGGGAACACCCGCGTTGACGTTGTGGGATGAAGAGGAGAATCCGTCAATTACGACGGATATCTTGCGGCCAGAGATAAAGTCAGCCACCCATCTGCAAAGCTTTTCTGGGAGGCCGTAGGATGGAAGTTTGCTCAAGAGGGCAGCGTGCCACAGCTGATCGAACGCTTTCGTGATGTCAAGAGCAACGACATGAGCCTCACCATGAGACTGGATGAGTTTACTCCACAGTTGCGTGACGTAAGCTAGGAGGTCCCCTGTGGATCGTTGGTGCCGGAAACCGTACTGCCTGTCGCTAATCAAGCTGTGACGTTCGAGGTAGTCCAGAAGCTCGCGATTTATGCACCTCTCCATCACTTTACTTATAACAGAAAGCAGAGCTATAGGCCTGTATTTGTAAGGGTCGGTTTTAGATCCCTTCTTTGGGATGGGCTGTACATGAGCAAATTTCCAGTTTTCTGGGAAGGTGCCGGATTCATAAGATATCTGGAAGAGACGCGAAAGAATTGGAGCAAGCTCAGCTGCACATCTCTTCAGTACAATGGCAGGAATCAAGTCCGGACCAGAAGCTTTGTTGATGTCGAGCGACAAGAGCACTCGTCTTACGGTCTTATGCCTGAATGTTACCTCCCGCATAGTGTGGGGAACCCTTTGAATTGACGGCACTTGGGCGTTGGTGGGGACGTCCATGGTGGAGTTGGCAGCAAAGATCTTGGCTAGCACTTCCGCCTTGGCCTTTGAGTCGAATACAATAGTTCCATCCTGACACGTAAGTGGTGGAAGGCTACTGTGTGAGAAGTTCTTTTCAATCTGCTTGGCCAGCGTCCAGAAAGACCGACTGCCATTGCGCTGCGACATTACCCTGTGCCTAACTTTTATATTATGCTGGGTTTTGGCATTGCGAACCGCTTCGTTATATTTGTTTCTGGACTCGACGTCGGCTTGTCTGTTCTCTACAGTGGGGTTTTGTAAGTAGGTTCTGTGGGCCTTGATCTTCTGCTGGCGAGCAGTGTCACGATTTGTTGAACCAGCCGTTGGACCCTGGTTTAGGAACTTTCACTGTGTGAGGGATGTATTCCTCCATTCCGACATGGATAATTTCGGTTATTGAAGAACAGACAGTCGACGCATTGAAAATCTATGGGAATACTTAGATAAGCAAATACGAGATAAAAATTATTCAAACAAGGATGAACTTTTTGCCACTTTAGAGTAAAGTGGAGACAGATTGACGAATCTTATATCAAGAAACTTCTACAATCTATGCCGAGACGATTCCAGGCAGTGATTGATAATAATGGTTATGCTACAAAATATTAACACAAACATGGTTGGTTTTCTATAAATCAATGAATTTTGCTTCTTTTTCTATAATTGTTTTGCTTTGTCTATATATTTTTGTCCTTCATAGTTCCAGTTTTTTCAATTAATTTTTTTATTGAAGAGAGTTAATGAATTTATTTTTGTATAAGTGAGTATTATGCTATAACGAATTATGTATACAGGTTGGTGTATTAATAAAGCAAGTTAAAAAATAAATACAGCACAATATTAATTTGTCTATATACTTTTGTCCATTACTGTATGTTGTCATGGACCTGAAAGGTACTTAATCTAGGTATCCTGAGTCGTCATCAGCAAGTGCATTTTGAAGCCTATCTGTTTATTGCTTTGCTATTACTACTTTCAATATTCTTGTCAAAGGGAGAAGGAAAAAACGTAAAAAAAATCATTTCAACCACTTTTATCTTATTTTGACCGCAGCCCCGAACTGAAGTTCTACATGCACCAGTGATTACAGCAAAAAAGACTAGTTTCTCATACCCTTATCCAAAGAAATGAGCTGCTGTCCTAATACTGAGCTATGTGATTACAAAGATATATTTAATCCATATTTTCAGGTATCACACGCCTAATGTAGTCTATATCAAAACTGAAGATCCCGACTTACCAGCTTTCTATTTTGATCCATTGATTAACCCTATTTCGCATCGTCACGCCGTGAAAAGCTTGGAACCTCTACCTGAGGATGATGAAGAATATATCTTACCTGAAACTGTCCAGCCTTTTCTGCAGGAAACACCATTGTATACAGATAACACTGCTAATGGCATAGCTTTGTTATGGGCGCCTAGGCCTTTCAACATGAGATCAGGTAAAGTTTGTGTAGGAACCATCCTTCCACAGTGAAAGAAGAGCAGTTTAATCTTGAGATATTTCGAGAGGTCAATCTGAAGTTCAAAATATTTTATACTTTATAATTTTTTTAGGTCGCTGTAGAAGAGCAATAGATGTACCTCTTGTAAAATCTTGGTACATGGAACATTGCCCGCCGGGTCAACCTGTCAAAGTGCGCGTCAGCTATCAAAAATTGTTGAAATACTATGTGCTGAACGCATTGAAACACAGACCACCTAAACCTCAGAAGAAGAGGTATTTATTCAGGTCTTTTAAGTCTACTAAGTTTTTCCAGACGACCACGTTGGATTGGGTGGAAGCAGGCCTACAGGTAATAAAAATTATATGTTTTAGCTGACAGCTGAAAGCTGACATAATTTTTGTTTCTTTGCAGGTTTGTCGTCAGGGCTACAACATGTTGAACTTGTTGATCCACAGAAAGAATTTGAATTATCTGCATTTGGATTACAATTTTAATCTAAAGCCAGTAAAAACGTTGACTACAAAGGAGAGAAAGAAGTCCCGTTTCGGAAATGGTGAGTCAAACAGAATTTTTCAGATTTGTACTTGAGGCCTTTCAGTCAAACAATTTGCTCTTCTTGAACTTTCACTATTAACAATCTATTATAACAAGCTGGAATTGGAAGTTCCAGAATGTCAATCGAAACTTGAAGCTTTTTAATATAATAGTTTTAAATTTTTATTCCTGATTTTTCGGCCTGTGTTCTGTTCGAAAAGAAATGAACTAAAAATTTTAAAATGACATTCGTTTTATTTTTGTAGCTTTCCATCTGTGCAGAGAAATCCTACGTCTCACCAAACTGATCATAGACTCACATGTCCAGTACAGATTGAACAACGTAGATGCATTTCAATTGGCTGATGGTTTGCAGTACATTTTTGCTCATGTTGGACAGTTAACTGGAATGTACAGATACAAATACAAGCTGATGAGACAGATCAGAATGTGCAAAGATCTTAAGCATCTGATCTACTACAGGTTCAACACTGTAAGTACATTGAACACGACCATTTTCTATGTGCATAAATATGGCGATTTTTTTTACAGTTTAATAGCCACAAGGATTCCAGATATCTTGAAGATGTTTTCGTTGCTCAGATTTCCTTCTGTTTTTCAGGTTCGGCACTAAAGTTTAACTAAATCTGTTTTCATTCTGTCTCTACGACCATAGCCATTGCTGTTTCATGCTCGTGAGTCACCATCAGTACAGTGTAGGTCTAGACATGTGTTGGTACAGACAAAAAAAAAACAATATGTTGTGCTCAAAGACGTTAACACTGACAACAGTCATCTAAAAATACTTCGCTAAATCTGTTGAAAATCCATATACTGAGTAACATTTACCCTTCTATGAACGTGTAGATTTCGCTCACCATCATTAAAAGCGCGATTGAAATCGTCCGGAATACTTGCTGGACTCAAGGCTACCAAAAATGGCGCGCTATTCATAAATAGACACACACTGAACCGAACTTGTTTGTTTTGTAGCCATAACCAACCGCATACAACATTGTTTCGTGCTTTTTAGCGATCATCAGTATCTCAATCTTGAATCAGGGTCGCAGATACGTCGAAAGATGTTGCCGCGCGTATCGTAGCAGGAGCAAAGTACCCCTACACACCTCCTCGCATTTCTGCGATCCTAATAGCGAATCTCCATTCTTCAACTTTGTGAAAACTATATGATCGCCTTAGCGACTTCAGCAGCTCACAATATTATATCATACCAGGAGCAGGATACACCTATATACCTCCTCGTATTTGTGTGATCCTAACAGCAAATCTCCATCATTCACCTTAGCGATTCAAGCAATTCAGTCTCGTATCGGGGTCGCAGAGACGCCGAGAGGTGTTGCCGCTTGCATATCATAGCAGGGGTAGAGTACACTTACATACCTCCTTGCATTTCAGTGGCACTAATATCAAATCTCCCATCATTCAACTTTGCGAAAAGCACATGATTGGCTTAGCAATTTCAGCAAACTCAAAATCTTGTATCAGGGTCGCAGAGAAGACGAGAATTGTCTCCGCACCTATATCATAGCAGGAGCAGAATACATCTATATACCTCCTCGCATTTCTTGATCTTAATACCTGCTATTATAATTCAACTTTGCGACACGTATATGACCGCTTTAGCGATTTAAGCAACTCAATCTTGAATCAGGGTCACAGTGGCGACGAAAGATGTTGCCGCTCTTATCATAGCAGGAGCTGAGTACACCTACATACCTCCTCGCATTTCTGTGACTCCAATATCAAATCTCCATTATTCAACTTTGCGAAAGAACCCGATTGCTTATCGATTTCAGTCACAATCTTGAATTAGGGTCGCAGTGACGACAAAAGGTGTTGCCGTTCGTCTGATAGCAGGAGCAGAGTACACATATATACCTCCTCACATTTCTGTGGCACTAATATCAAATCTCCATCATTCAACGTTGCTTAGCGATTTAAGCAACTCAGAACCTGTATCAGGGTCACAGAGACGACGGAAAGTGTTACCACTAGCATATCAGGAGCAGAGTACTTGTCGTGTGAAAACAGACATTTTGAATTTTTCTAAAATAAAATTGCTGCTCTCCATGACGGACATACTATTTTGTTATAATAGACAATACACTTTTCAATGTGCATTTTTTTCAGTAATATTTTTTTTTAGGGTCCTGTAGGTAAAGGTCCTGGTTGCGGTTTTTGGGCGCCAGGTTGGCGCGTGTGGCTTTTCTTCATGCGCGGCATTACTCCGCTGCTAGAACGTTGGCTTGGCAACTTGCTGTCCAGACAGTCGAAGGTAGACACTCCAAAGGGGTCGCCAAAACGGTCACCAAGCAGCGTGTCGAGTCTCACTTTGACCTGGAGTTGCGTGCCTCTGTTATGCCACGATATTGTCGATATGATGCCGGAAGGAATCAAGCAGAATAAGGCCAGGACTATATTGCAGCATCTTTCTGAGGCTTGGAGGTGTTGGAAGGCGAATATCCCGTGGAAGGTAAGCACATTATCTTATGTGATTCATAGCACATTATAGTATACAATTTCTATATGGGGTTTCTTTGTTAACTTGTACATTTTTTTTTCAGGTTCCTGGTCTACCAATACCCATTGAGAACATGATCCTACGTTACGTGAAGATGAAAGCAGATTGGTGGACAAACACTGCACATTACAACAGAGAGAGAATCAGAAGAGGTGCAACAGTAGATAAGACAGTGTGTAAGAAGAATCTTGGTAGACTTACCAGGTATGTTATTCTTATTCATTATTTGTGTTTTTCAGAAGAAACGCTGATAATGACGTGCTTTTCAGTATATTTGAAACGTTCATGTATTATAGCAGTTCCAGAATCCAGATCGCCGAGGACTCAATCTTGCACGGTGCAATGATATTTAGGCTTCTTCACTTATTTTTATGTAATTATTTTTTCATCAGGTTATATCTGAAAGCAGAACAAGAAAGGCAGCACAATTACCTAAAAGATGGTCCGTACATTTCACCTGAAGAAGCTGTGGCTATCTACACGACAACCGTGCATTGGCTGGAGTCGAGAAGATTCGCTCCTATACCATTCCCTCCACTTTCCTACAAGCACGACACCAAGCTGCTTATTCTGGCCCTTGAGAGGCTTAAGGAGGCTTACAGGTTCGAAACTATTATCCTATTCTAAATTTGATGTTTTGCAATCTAAGAAAAAACAGAAGATACCGAAAAGCCGTAGTTATGTTGTGAATCTGGTTCTAATTTTGTTTGCAGCGTGAAATCCCGTCTTAACCAAAGTCAGCGAGAAGAATTGGGCTTGATAGAACAAGCGTATGACAACCCCCACGAAGCTTTGTCCAGGATCAAGAGACATCTATTGACACAGAGGGCGTTCAAAGAAGTGGGGATAGAGTTCATGGATCTCTACAGCCATCTGATACCCGTTTATGATGTGGGAACCGTTGGAGAAGATTACTGATGCCTATCTGGACCAGTACTTGTGGTGAGTGAATTAAGTTTACTTCATAAGATTTTGACTATTGCAAAATTAAACAAATATGGTTGTGCTGGAACTCAATTGGTTTAAACATGCGGTACCGGACAAAAAGTGTGCTAATTTTTTATTCTTTATTATTAAGGACTATTTTTTCTCATATAGCTTGCTTACATTTTTGAGGAAACAAATGACAATTTGTGTTTGCTGTGTTACTATAGACCAGTATTAAAATACCTTCATATTGTTTTATGGCCAAAAATGAGACGACAAAGTATGGAAACATATTTTTTACTGCAAAATTAAATACAATAATTCACAAGAAATATTTAAAAAATACTGTTTAGGTAATATTTGGTGGCATAGCCTTTAGCATTCAACACTATTTTAGCATTAATGCTACAATGTCAATTTTGTATAATGATTCGGTTACATATTTTTCTTCAATCCATTTTCTGTAATTTTACATTCTTGTCTATTAAAATTAAAATTACGTCACTATGTATTTTGATTATCCATAAAGTGATTTTTTAATTTCACCTTAAACATCTTTAAATTCGAACTCTGTTTAATATCATTACTCAATTATTATTAAATTCAAATACTCCCTTTTGAAATATAGATTTACTAGTTATGCTACTATTACAGTTTTGCAGATAAAAATATATACTGCCTCTAGTTTCGTAGTTATCATAATGATTATTTAATTTTGTGAAGTTATCTAAATGTGGTGGTAATAAATGATTTTTTAATTTGAATATGAAAACGAGAACTAAATATATATGAAATTTTTGTTTTTGTTTAAAATGATCCTCATAGCTTTATTTTGTAGAATTTGTAGTTTTGAAAATATGTTTTCATTTGCTGTAAACAAGATGGTTGAACAATATAAAAAAATGGGAAAGAATTATAGTATTACACACAATTTTTTTGGAATACATACTAAGATTATGGAAAA